GGGGGGGGGGGGGGGAGGGGGACGAGTCACGTCGGACGGTGTATACGACGAGGAATATCGAAGGCTACATATCGGTATCTCGATTATCGATCGCAAGTACGGACGAATTGAGCTCCTATGTTTTAATTCGACGTCCAATCGGCCGCGTCCGCGAACAAGCAGACACGAATAATGAATCGATGTGATGCAACATTGCGTGTTGCTTCGAACCGCACGAGAGTTCCCAAATAAAAATCTTAGAGCTCTGCTGATTCACTCTGCAGATTTCGTCAAATTTGAGACGCCAGTGGTGAATTTATTGTCCATTAACGTTAGAAATGATTGAGTATCGCCGTTTCGTTAAGGCTGGAAGGACTTACTTAAAGATCAAGAAGGAAACAATAGAAGAATACCGGTGTATAAAGGTCACACTGTTGCAGTTGAATATTCAACTAGTAAACAAGAATATTCGACTCAATAAGTATAAATATATAATACATGGAGAAATTTGCAATAACTTTTGTTCAATTATTTCCTGCTTGATTGCGTATCTTACGAGCCTTTCCTTTCATCTTCTTCCTTTCCTTTTCTTGCCTTTTAGCTTCTATTTAAAAATGACTTAACATTCATTCATCTGAACAGTCTACCTGCATTGAATATTTATTTTTGACTCCAACAAGAAATATATCAATTATGTAACTTACTTAACTGCAGATAGAGCATGTGCGATGAACAAATATTACAACGGAGAGTAATGAGTAGCGGGTAAAAATGAAACAACAAACTTTTTATTTTCCACTTTCATAGAGTCTCATGGCATAAAGAATTTCGATAGAATTTGAAGATTCAAAAAAGGTGGTAAAAAAAGAGTTGTAAGTTTGTTTGAGTCGTATTTTTTTACTGCTTACGTTTTTCCGTATGTCATGGCTCTAACAGTTGCACGTCAACGATCATCGAATGCAACGAGGGACACTCGATACACGTCGTCTCGTAGATCGCCTCGGAATATATTTGGAGAGCGTTGATTTAATCGTGATCTCCCGGCCACCGAATATATTCGGCATTGTTCGACGAGCGACAACAGTCTGCAGGTGGCAACTTTGTCCTTCTCAGAGAAGTGACAATTGTTTTGGGACGCTCGTACGTCGCGTGCTTTTCCGTAACCAAATTAATTACGTATCGAGCCAACGAATGACACATATACCACAGCGCGGAGCACGTGTATCGTTATGTTGTTTACAATTCCGGCCGGGTGACGGAAACATTTTGTTAGTTATTAAAACATTCAGTCGGTTTCTTGGCGATTAAAAATCGAAAATAATTTTCGAGTGTTAAAATCGACCTGAAACCTTGCTGGTACTGAGAGAGACTCGTTTCTCTATGATGTTGTTTGTTTCTAATAATACTCCTTGGAACGCGAGCTTCACTTTAAATCTGCCAACGCCTCTTTCCACCTACATGTTGTTTTATCATTAAGTTTAGATTTACATTCTTATTGTGATGTTTATGTCACTGTTATCTTTAGCCTTATAACTCCTTTCTTTATTCATCCTTTTCGAATACCCAAATTATATCGAAGCTTTCTGACGCCAAAAAAGAAACAACGGAGACCATGAATACAAGAGAGTTTATTGTTTACTGATATTAATTATTTAATGTTCATTCATCGCACATATCCTATCTGTAGTCGAATAAGTTGAATAATAAATTCACTGAAATTAAGAATCACAAGATTAATTAAACGTAGAGAATATCACGTTTAATCAGAGTAAATCGGAGATATTAAGTATTTCTATAAATACTTCTTTCAGTCTCGATAGCCGAAAGAACAGCAACAGGTAGCCAGAATTGCGCCTTTAAACTCGATGAAATTCGCAGGATCAAGAAAGAATCAAAATTTCGACTCTCAGGTGCGACTTTCCTCCGCGCAAAAAGACGCGAAGATGCATTTCCGCGCGACTCCATTTCCGCGTCGCGCCTGAAACTCGCCTCTCCGCGACTTATCGGTCGCACTATTTATTCTTCGAACACCGCGCGCTATCGACTCCTCGTAAATCACGAAGAAAACGGATAAACTCTCGATAATGTGTCACTTTGCGAAGATCTTATCTCGCGCGAAAAGGAGCGTCTCTCTCTCTCTCTCTCTCTCTCTCTCCGGGAGATAAGAGCCTGCATTCGGAACGAAGCACCGCGCGCGATATTCGAGAACGAGAGCTCGAGGGAGAGCCGGCTCCCTTTTTCTCTTTCTCTTGTCTGCCTGAGGATAGAAAGCCCGTCCTGGACGACGGAAACGCGATTCGAACGAGCACCGTTGTACATGCAATTAGAGGAGCGAGCGACGACCTATGTACGCGTACATACATACGACGCGCGCGGTAGATATCTAGGCGCACGCCGGAGTTGTGATGAAACTAACGAGCCTCTCTCGGCTCGCCTCGCGAGAGCGAACGCGTGTACGTACGCGCGCGAAAGTGCGTCCGTATGTAACTCGCGAGCGTGTTGCGCAACGCACCGCGCGGTCGCCCGTAAGGTACACACGGGACGCGAACTCTCTATTAAACGCCGAATATACCGTGCGCGCCGCTTTCCCAATTAGCGCGCTACCGGCCCCGCGCGCGCGCACGTAACGGCAATTAGCGTGAGAGTGAGAACAAATTGCGTTTTCGTGTGTATGTGTCTGTGTGTGTGTTTCACGCGGCGCCATGTGGCTAATAAACGCGCGAAATTGGCAATTTCGCGGGCGCGACTGCGATTTCGAAATACGTCGATTTCGTCGCAGATGGATTATCATCCTCGAGTCGT